CCAGCCCAGCTTAGTGTCATTCACAGGTAAGTGATCTGTAACCAGAGGTTGTTTTGTATCTAGACTAACAGTGATTCTCCTTCCTGCCATGAATGAATCTTTGAAGTGGTCTCTCAGAGGCTTTCCCCTTGCATGCAAGATTAAATAAAACTTGACAAACTTGACCCCTGCTGGTAACTCAACTGACAAGTTTTCTTTATCTCTCCACCTTGTTGTCACCCAGGTAAGCCCTATCTTCCCTAGCCCCCCTGTGGAACACCCTCCCTGTCTGGAAATCCTCATGGGCCCGGCCCGGCCCCACCATATGATGACAATAATGGTAAGAATAATAATATGGACTTGCCACATGCCAGCCAAGGCTAAGCCTTGCTTATGTCAACTAGTTCGTGCCCTTCCTTGTGAGCACAAGGGCAGCAGCTCACAACTGGGCAGAGGGGTGGGAGAGGATGCTTGAACACCAAGGAAGGCCTCACTGATAGAGTGACGTCCCAATGGACCTGAAGGAGGTGGGGAGCTAGCCAGGCTGATATAAGGTCAAAAATTTCAGATAGGGATCAGCAAGCTCAGGGGCCTGGAACTAGAGGATCCCTACTGATCTGCACTGAGTGGGGCAGGGGGCAGAGGGACAGCCGCACCCAGAGGCATACCACTTCACACCAGCCACAGCACTCCTGGGCAGGAAATCTATCTGCTCAGAACTGTACCCCCTTTCTGGGAGCCCTCCCATCATCCTCTCCATTCCAATGGATGACATGAGAGCCTCCCAGTTAGCATCTTGTTAAAGAAAGAATTATTCACGACACTTGTTAAAATGGTAGGGCAATTGGTGGGAATGCAAACTGGTGCAGCCACTCTGGAAAACAGTATGGAGTTTCTTCAAAATGTTAAAAATAGAGCTACCCTGTGATCCAGTAATTCCACTAGTGGATATTTACCCAAAGAATACGAAAACACTAATTCAAAAAGGTATATGCACCCTGTGTTTAATGCAACATTATTTAAAATAGCCAAATTATGGAAGCAGCCCAAATGTCCATCGACTGTTGAACAGATAAAGAAGAAGTGGTATATATATATATATATATGAATATTATTCAGCAATCAAAAATAATGAAATCTTGCCCTTTGCAATGACATGGATGGAGCTACATATTATAATGCTAAGTGAAAGAAGTCAGTCAGAGAAAGACAAATATCATATGATTTCACTCATATGTGGAATTTAAGAAACAAAACAAACAAACAAAAAAAGAGACAAACCAAGAAACAGACTGCTATCTATAGAGAACAAACAGATGGCTAGCAGAGGGGATGGGGTGAAATAGATAATGGGGGTTAGAAGGACACTGACCACAATGAATAGTGAGGGATGCATGGAACTGCTGAATCATGATGTTGTGCACCAGAGACCAATACAACACTGTATGTCAACTAACCAGAATTTTTAGAAAAGCATACATTTAACCAGTTAAAACAGTAAGGTGCGCTTTATTCAGGACCATCACAGTAGGTACACAGACCATGGTGATGGAGTTTTGTGGTGTGGGCTCAATTCTGATCACAGCAGGGCAAGTGAGCATCTATAGTGATAGGGTTCAGAACATGCTGCCTCAAAATATGACACCTCACATGCCGAGTATTTTAAGCTGAAGTAGTTTGAGAAAACAGCAGAAGCAGGAAGGTCACTCTGACCTCCCCCTCCCTTGTCCCCTGAAACAGATCATCATACCCTCCTGTGAGAGGTACCCTCCCTATCCCCAGAGAACAGGAGCATCCTTGTGCCAAAGACAAAGGGAAGAATCCCAACAAACTGGCCTCGCTAAACTTCCCCAGTTGACTTCACTAACTTCGTACTTTTTAACCTGCCATATTTTTCCACAGCTGTCCAGTCCCCATCAAACCTAGCATAAAATACTCACGTTTAACTCTTTCTTTGGGTCATTTCCTTATGAAGCTTCCCATGTCAGGTAAAATTTATAAAGTAAAACAAATGTGTGGGCTTTCTCCTGTTAATCTTTGTCAGTTTTTCAAACCCAGCCAGGGACCCTATGAGGGTCAAGGAAAACTTGACCTATAATAGCCAAGCAGCAAGTGGGGGTCAGTGGAAAAAACTGACTTTTTCACTAAGAAAAAATCAGTGGTGAGGGGGCTTCTGGCTAAACCAACCTACCAGGATTCTGGCCAAGGACAGACCAGGTGATCAGACATCAGCTGGAGGTGGTAGGGGGATCAAGGGACACCCACCGCTGGGTGGCCAAGTCAGTTAAGCATCTGCCTTCAGCTCAGGTCATGACCCTGGGATCCTGGGATGGAGCCCCATGTCAGGCTCCCTGCTCAGTGGGGAGTCTGCTTCTCCCTCTGCCCCCTCCCAAATAAGTAGATAAAATCTTTAAAAAAAGAAAGAAAGAAAGAAAGAAAGAAAGAAAGAAAGAAAGAAAGAAAGAAAGAAAGAAAGAAAGAAAGAAAGAAAGAAAGAACGAACCGGGTCGGATATCGAGGGTGGAGGGTTCTTGCTAAAACCGGGATTTACAAGGAAGTGCACAGATGGGCCTAGGAGAAGGTTAAGGAGCCTGACTAAAGTTTGGTCAAGCAAACCTCCCTCCCTTGGTTGAGACATGCAGCCACCAGCAGTGCCCTTCTGGAACTGGGGCCAACCACACCACATCAGGGTGGCTGTGGAAGAGGAAATACAACCTGGGTGGGCCAGGTCAAGGAACAGGAACAATGGTTGCTGAGGGCAACAAGGGAGGAGTTGAAGGCCTGCACAGATGGCATCTGATGTCCTGGGTCCCCACATCAGCCAGTCCCAGGAACCACTGCAGAATCCCTTCATGTGGGCTGGGTGTTCTCACTGAAGGCACTCACCCCCCACCCACCCACCCCACACAGGCCCAAGAGACAGAGGCCTCTCCTCCCTTGTCCTAGGTACAGAAAGACAAGACCAGCACCTCTCATTGCAAGGCCCCTCTCCTAACTGTGGGCGTCAGTTCCAAATTAGCAATGTCCCAGGCGTCCAGAGCCGCATCATGCACGCTGGCAGGCTGCCTCCCATCAGGGCTCTATCCCAAGCTGACCCTCCTGCCAGCTTCTGCAGCAATGCCAAGAAAGAACTCACATCTCCAAAAGACTCAGACGCCTGCCGAGGCTTGGCTTTGAACAAACATAGCTGGCAGCACACAGAACTTCCCCCACCTAGAGGTCAGGGCTGGGCTGGCTCAGCTGTCCCGTGTGCACACACCTGAGCAGCCTTCAGGAACCGCAGGGGAAGATGCCAACCATTTGCATAACATTACAACCACAGGCAGGCTCTTCCCAAGAATCAGGGCAGGTCCTCGGATGCCTGGGGTAGTTTCCAGCTTGCTGCTGAAAGGGAAGAAAGTGCTTTTGGTGGAGTCCTTTTAAACTCCAATTCATAGCGCCGACCAGCTGTGATAGCTCCAATTACAGGTTCAAAGATTTCTGGGCCATGGAAAAACTTCCTGTCCTGGCCACTCAACCCCATACCACTCCCACGCAAAGGCCCAGAAACCACCATGGAATGTGCCACCAAGGGGATGGGTTGCCAGAGACTGGACCCTTCCTTTCCCCACAAGGTCAGCAGCAAGCCTTGACCACAACCCCGAGCCCCATCTCTGAGAGTCCCTGCCCTTCGAATTTTGCTCCCCCACACTCCCTCTTGTCTTGAGCTTTCATGTTTCATCAGGAAAATACCAGCTCCCCAGCCAGGACTGGGCTTCAGTGGAAGCTGTGTCCTGGTCCCCCACCCCAGTCCCCAGAGGCCATTCGGAGTGCTGTCCACTCTCCCATTGGTTCCAGGCTCAGGAGCCACAGAAAACCTCCTCAACCAGAAACCAAGGTCCTGGTCTTCCTGAGGTCAGAGGTCCCAGAGGGATGCCCTGAGCTTGTGGGGGAAACTGAGGCCAGAAAGCTGCCCTAGAGAGTTTCCTGGGGTACGGGGAGCTGCCCTAAGGGAGCTGCTGGCTGAGGGCCCCAGTTACTGCACTGAATAAAACACCCACCTAACCATCCTCCTGGGTACTCCCTCTGACTTCGAGATAGCTAAACCCACTGGGGAGCAAAAAGGTGAAGTCATCCGTCCAAGGTTATCCAGTGACGGAGCCAGAGCTTACTCATCTCCTCTGCCAGTGGGTTCTTCCCATCGTGTAACCCCAAGGCAGGCCAGACCCCATATACCCAGACACACACACACACACACACACACACACACACACACACACACACCACACACGCACACTGACACACATACACACCACACACGCACATGCACACTGACACACACACCACACACACACTGACACACATACACACCACACGCACACAATACACACCA